TTCAACAGCTGCCACCTTCTCTGGCTCCGTACTGAAGATCAAATGACCAGCCGGCCAGAAAGAATTAGTAATAAGCAACTCTGGCTGGGGATAAACCAACCAATAGATGATCGCTCAACATATATGTAGGAGGAAATGGAGATAGGTCGGGCATAAGTTGAGCAGACCATCGAATGACATCGCGCGCAATGCAGGCCACCGCTCGAGTCGAATCCGTACGAGAAGCGACGAATGGGTTATCGGTGCGAGAGTGACGTGGAGGACATCGTTTGAGGAGTAAGAGATGAGAGATTATGAGCAATCGTGGACACAGCTGAAGAGGATGGCACAAAATAAAGCTAAGTGTAGATATGTTGTTGAAGCCATATGTTCCCCTCGGAACCCAAAGGAATAACAGCTGAAAATTCTGGTCTCTAATGATGTGTTTGTTAATTGCTAATTCACTTGAGTACCAGGCTTCTAGGAATTCTCTGATGGCATTTTTGGTGTTTCCTCTGTTTAAAATTTCTACATTATGCTAATCAAATTGGTGTCCATAATTATCCACATGCATCATACTGAAGGAATGAAAGTCGTCTATTTTCTAAGCTATTTTATGTTCTTGGATTCGTATTCGAAGAGAGCGCCCAAGTTGACTTCTGTAATGTTTACTGTAGTCCATACAGTTTATTTTGTAAGTGGTATAATTCTATCCTCTTTTTCTATTGGATCTTTCGGTTTGCACCATATCGAATGAATTGATTGTGCTGGCTGGCTTATGTGCTAAATCTATTTCAAACGGTCTGAATATTCTAGCTGTTATTTCAGAAATACTTTTTATATGTGGTAGAATGAATTTTCTTGTGGTCTTTGAGGATGGTTTCTTGTCGATGTTACGACTCGAGCTCAAACACTTTGATGAAATTGTGAGGGTAAGCATCCTTTCTGAAGACGATTAGAAGGTATTTTTCCGCCATTCCATTCAAAACCTGAGTACTACAATGTGTTTGAACTCTTTTAAACATTGTGAATTAGCAATTAACAAACACATTACTATAGGCTAAATTTACCAGATAATAAAAATTAAATCACATGACAGGAAAGTTCAAATTTGAACAAAGCAAGAACTACAGTTTTAGCAGAATAAAATGGTACCATATTTTATTTCGTTGCCTTCTCGCACCATTTTATTCTGCTAAAACTGTAGTTCTTGCTTTGTTCAAATTCATTAAGGGGAATAAATGTATGAAAGTTCAAATTCCAAGTTAATAAAAATGATCAATACAGACGTAAATTAACAACGTAAAATAACAACGACAGTGGTTGCCGGGATATACAATTACATCATTGATGGAGAAACCGAATGAGTTCATTTTATACTAAAATCTGCGCTGAGGATGTTGTCTAGAAGGATGATGAAAGCTTTGCAATTAAGTTAACCAACTCGGAGAACACAATTAATTCGATGTCATTCACCTGAGCTACAAATCTTCTCCATTATTTCAAGCAAACTGATCATCAGCATTCTGGGCTAAGAATATCGTCATAAGGTAAGCTGCAAAAAGATATTTGCTTATAGACACAATACACAGATTTGAAAGCGTTCAATATACCTATAATGGCAGAATAAAAGAATATGTCGCAACGGAATTATTTATTTACTGGCAACTCTACGAACAGATATGCACAAAATATGTCCACATATCGGAGTCCCAGTGTGCACATATCTTTGGCATTGTGCACCCTGGTCTTCTTACCATGTGGTTTCACAAGCATCGTTCATTCCTTTTCTTCGTCATTAAATCCATCTTTCCACTATTCGATATTTTTACAGATGATATACATATTATTTATATCTGCATTTACAGACTACTTATAAATCTTGTCAGTATTACGCGCAACATACCGACCAATTTTATGGGCTACCAAAAAAATGACATTTTGCTAAGTCATTCTAAATACTGGATTATCAGTGAGCTAGTATTCGGAGACATTCATTCTGATGTGTTTGAATAGCCTAGCAACATGTCGTTTACCTCCATTCTTTTTCTGCTGTACACGTTTATTCCGCAATATCTACAAAATGTACTATAGATACTACTCACTTCTTTTGAAGTGCCAATTTAAGTAATTTGTCTTGGTTGTTTTTGTCAATAATGTCACCCTTATTTTGACTCTGCCATTTGTATGTAGCCGAAAGATTGGCCAGACTGAAACTCTGTTTGCAAAAGCGCTGCATAAGCTTATCGTTACCACAAATGACACTACTTTTCTTATGGGATTTTTTTTATAAACACCTTACCATCTTTCCATTATCTTTGCCCGTTTACATTAATGAGTTATTTTTCACACCGACATCATCAGTCCCTAGATTATACCTCAATTTACGTGGTACATTTTCTAGAACACAATTACCATATCTGATTGGTTTTATGGATTCTTTGATATATTTATATATTATTCCCTTACCTTCTTCGTGGAACATGGGGCTTCAAGTTAAAGCTTAGAAGTCTCGGTAGTACTAGTTTTGTTTTTACAAGTTGGGGTTGCTAGCTTCACGCCCAACCTTACATCTTTACTGTCTTAGCGAAGTAGGGAGGTGTGTCGGCCGGGGATCGAACTCTGGACTATATGCGTGGCTGGTGAGCATGCTACCGCTAAGTCACCGACGGACGCTCTGTACATTGAGTTGAAAATACCATTATGAGCAAATTCTCGACGTTAACTTTATGTCTCACTAGCTTCACTTCATAAGATTCAGTATTATATTTTTAGTACTTGAAAAATGTAACCGGAAAGATAAACAAAAGACATTCCCTATCTACGAGATTCCACACAAGTAGAGACACTGGAATAAATTGTCGCATATATTTCATGTAGTTGAGTATGCAATCCACTTGATAAGTACTCTACTTTAAAGACTATAAATTGTGAATCATATGACACTGTTACACTCAGTTAGTGTAATGGTAGAATTTGGGAACTGTAGTAGAATATAATTTGATGCAAAAAAACTGTAATCCAGTACTAATAATTGATGCCTCCGGCACAATTTATTGCTCATAATCATTACGCGCTATTCATACGGTCTTATAATTTGCTTTATTTATGTTTTCTCCCCGCCTTGTTGTCCATTGCAATCTTCCGTATAGTCAGCATAGGCGTTACTCCATTTTGGTTATGTGTTAGATGTTGATTTGATAAACAAAGATTCAGATGGTTAACCTCTGTCTTCACCTAAATATATTATCTTTTAATAACCTTACTTCACACCATCCTACTGTGATCATATGCAAGTGAGTGGATTGCAATGATCAGACATTTTTTCTAGATTATTTCGGATAGAAAGGTCAGTTATTTTAACCCTACCTAAATATCTATGTTCCAATCATCTAACTGATCCCGATCTATGTTAATGACCTTTCAGTCGACAGATGGTGTTCAGTTAACTGTACTATTTTTCTTAATTGGATCTTTCAGGTACTGTGTCTGTAGAACTGGCAAAGTTTGTCTCCGAGTGAGTTGGTTGGTTTAAATGTCACCATAATTCCAGCCTTATTAAGAATCCTTCGTAGAACCTTCTGATACTCCTCTTTTATAAATGGTAGCACTATTGATGCTTTTAGTTCCTTGAGCTTGAAATGTCATCCAGTCATTAATACTGTATCACTGGTTTAAATTACGTATATTTATCATCAAATATGTAACTGGACCATCGGTCTCGACAGAGCGAAAAACACTTCTCCATACGTTGTGCATGTGTCTTTGTTCGTCATGTTCAATCTTCTTCTGACAAAATCTTTCTGCTCAGCAGTTAAACAACACTGACTCTCCCCAGTTTATTGATCACTACTACAAAAAAACCTGTCCACTAAAAATACCTCATCTTTTGTACATTTGATTATCTATGGTTAATTATTTCTATTTTTCTTTGCGAGAACGTACGGCTTATAAAAACACTAGCAATTTCAAATCTCTGTCATGTTCTTTCTAAACATTTACCAATTTGAATGTACATGTAGTCAAACATACATTGGGAGGACTCATTGATCTCTGCAAGTAAGAGCTGGCTTTACATCATATTCTTAAATGGCTTCACAAACAAATGGAATCCTCAGAACTTATTAATGGTAAGAACAGGAGACCTAGCTCTTGTATTGCGAAACATATTACAGAGGATACAGGACATAAAATTGATTTTAACACGTCTTTTAAACCTATCTACAATAGGTGTTTGGGGTGTATCCTTACTTTTGTGGAAGCCGTAGCTGGCAATTAGGAAGTTTAAACCACCTTTATGCGTTCAAAGCAACAATTCGTCATCACACTAAACCTTCCTTGGTAAACTTTGTTTTTATAGCAGTTAGGGCAGTTGTACTATTATCTCTGTTATGTGGTTTAGTGATCTTCATTGTTATTTCGAGCTTCAATATGTCATTTTAACTTGACCTAAACTTACTTTCTCACCTCTTAACTTTTTATTAATTAATTTCGCATAAATATTCCAATGACAAGTCCGCGTGTGTGATCAGATTGTTCGAAATGTGTTGCTCAAACACACACTACACACGATTCAGACAAATTACGTCTTCTTAAAAATCAAAACTTATCAATGTCTGTAAACTACTGAAATATAGGTATAATTTATTTAGTCGTCTTATTGCTTTGTCTAAAAGTCATTGTAGAGACTAAATCAACCTGCTAATCAAAGCGCAAATTTATATCATAATTATATACATGAGGAAATAAAGTTAAAAATTAATTGAAAAATAAGCAATAAGTAGTATGTACATGAGAAACTGTAAGCTATCAATAGTGAATGAAGATGATTAAAATGGAAAATATTGAGGATAAAACCGGCGCATCAAGTTGAAGAAAAGCAGCCATCCCACTCAGTGAGACCCTTTCCAAGTAAGTATAACTTTGGAAAACTTAATATTCATAATCACGTCGGTGGCACAGTGATTAGGACACTCGCCGACCATGCACATAGTCCTGGGTTCGAGCCCACGCCGACGCACACCTGATATCTATGGTCGGCCTGCTATATTTGGGCTACCGATATCCATGCTGAAAATTCCATACTTTACTAAAAATACAGTGTGGAATCGAGCTGTAATCAAAAATTTAAAAAAATATGTACTTTATACCCTATATATATTCATTCGATTTCTGACGGACATGGCATTTTCGAGGGTGAAACATGCTGACTGTTATTCTCACCAAGAAGAATATTATCATTACTACTATATTGATTATCTTCATCAGTTCGTTTTCTTTTCCCTAAAGATTTTGAACAGTTGTTTGAATTGCACTCCATAGTTGACTGATCACAGCTAGTAGTAGTACTAGTAAACGAAGATGAATCACGAAGACTTGACGCTGAAGATGGCAATGAAAGTGACTCCATCTCAAGTTCCCTGTCTATTGTACTGATACCGCAAACAGATTCCAAATGCTGAATTCTGAATAATAATGATAATAATAATATGATTATTAATAGTAACATTAGAAGGCCTAAAGTCGACTTTATAAACACTACGAAAAGTATATTTTAATTGAATTTTAGATCTTCCCGTCGATTGATTGGATCAAGCGCTTCAAATCAATTAACATGACCCGTTCCACAAGAGGTGGCCCAAGTGGTCTAGTGGAAAACGCTTTGGGGTTTGAAACTATGGGCACTGGATTCGAGCCTCGGTGAGAACATCATCACTCACTGACTGAGGAATGCAGGTACCTCCAGTTAGGTGACGAGTCCCGAGTAGGGCGAAATGCGCATCCTCGATCCTACTGCTAGTCACCATCCACCAATTAAACTACGAAAAGTACTCTGTCAATCATAAACAGAGTGTTCAACCTTTTGTACACGTTAGTTCTTAGCAGGAAAGTGCTTCTGTATATTAAGGAATATTCATTATGACGGAACACTATAAGCTCATGTATTCTCTTACAAACACAGGATTTTATACTTGAGGGAGACGTTATAAATATTGTTCACTGACTGAGTTTCAAACATAAAACTTACCGTAGAAGTGTACCAACCAGTACAAGTTACCGAACTCTTTATATAGCAAACAAAGATAGAGCAGAGACAGACAAAAAAGGTATTCAAAAGAACTATATATATATATATATATATATATATATATAATATCATATTAATCCCTTGGGTTCCTAGTGTAACATAGGGCTTCAACTGCACGTCTCCACTTGCTTCTGTCTTCTTCTGTGCTTTTCACCTGCATCCATGTTAGTCCATACTGTTTCAACTCCTTTTTACACGATCTCCTCCATGTCACCCTTTCACTGACATCCAACTCGCTGCTTCCCTTTCGGGTTCCACTCGAGCAATGGCCTGATGGGCGCGCGATTTCACCCAGCGGCCTCTTCAGCCGCGAGTGTCGAATCCATCTCCACTTTCTCCTGAATATTTGTTGGTTGGCGATTGGTTCTTGTTTTGTTCGTTCCCATAGTTTCTTGTTGGTGATTCTTTCCGGCCCGGCCATCTGATCTTCAGTATGGAGCCAGAGAAGACAGTTGTTGATGAAGGTCTGCAACAGGCTGTTGGAAATATTATTTGTGACCCGCCCGCCAAGTTTCTGATTCATATAGAAGAGCTGACTGACTTGACGTCTGTATTGTATTGAAAATCCGACTGGATTTTGTTGTTGATGCTGGCTGAGTGACGAAGATTTCCAGATTGGTTTCAGGTTGATGAATGTGTTTCTCACTCACCTTCCCGATTCTCGCTCGATTTGACATCCTCGTCCGCTCCTCCTGTAGTTGAGACAATGCTCCCTAGATCAGTGAGTGAATGAAGTAACCTCTTTCAAATCCCTCCCGTTGATGGTGATTGAAGCTAGATGTTGCTGCTGCTGTTGTTGTTGGTTGGTTATTTTCATAACCTCCATCTTGTCTATGTTTACCTGGAGTCCTGTCTTCGCCAGCTGCTTATTCGACCAGTTTGTCAGTTTTCGCTCGCTTGTGTGTGACATCAAACATAAGTCATCCACGCGCGAATTCCAGGTCTTCTAGGTTCTTCGCATCGGTCCAGGAAATTCCTGTCTTCTCGTTTCCCACTGTCTCACGCATGATCCAGTCCACCACAATTAGGAATATCACTGGTGTTAATAAGCACCCCTGTCTGACTCATGTGTTTACTCCAAAAGAACTACAATGAACTGAAATGTAGGCAAACAAAAATAGTAATATAGAAAGACATTAGGGTTTAATGGATCTGAGAGATCACAAAGAGTCAATCTACATCTGTACGATTGCGAACAATTCTGAACCATACCAGTTGATCGTGATTGTGTGAAGACTGAGATACTACTTGAGCGCCCAGACCGAAGCAGGTGGTTTTTCTAAGGGACCACCCCGTAAGGTAGTGGAGCAGAGTCAGGAGCTATGTTCCCATGGTTGCCGTTGACCAATACAGGTTCATACCCCCAATTGATCCGATCGGATTCTGGAACCCATGTACCGCACAGTAACTGCTTTCAGTCTAACCGCTATTCAAACAACCTTCCTGACATGGTAGGACCTGCAGGAACATGACTCCCAGCCATTTTAGCTTGTTGGGTCGCTGCAGTATTCAAGCCAGACCACCACGACAAGGTAGCAGTTGTCGGCCGGGAACCATATCAGTAGTCTGCAACCGCGCAGTCCAAACCTCCCTATGTGGCTCAAACGGACAGTCAAGGACTTGACGAACTGATCTCAGGTTCTGGTATGACCATCTCTAACTCTTTTTCAGCCTAATCAAATGTCGGTTAACATTATTCGCCTAGAAACCGGTATCTTAGTCATCTCAGTGGATGTAGCGTCACAACTTGATTGACTAACTTACCCCCCCCCACACACACACACACAATTTTCCTAACACTGCGCCCAACCCGAATATTGCTCACCACAGAATATAGAACACAAACATCTGTGGTCAGAGAGATAAACTAACCCTTTCACATCTTCACTCACTAGATTAAACAGTTAAATCTCAATCAAGTAATAGCACATTCAAATCTCACAGGATTTATACAGTCTTAGAGTGTTAAGGTGAATATTTCTCTCCTGTACATTTTTGTTTATTGTAGTCTCATTATATTCTCTTTATCTACCTTTTGGTGTACATTATAGTAAATGTGTGTTAACGTCACACCTGTACTGTACTTTAGTAAACAAAATTCTACAACGAAAATTCAGTCCACTTCATGAATTAAATGTCATATTATTTAGACAAATTATAGAAAACTGTATGAGATAAAAAAGTTACGTTGCTAAATGAGGTACAAACTGTCACATATAGATTGGAAAGGAGTGAGAGAGACAGAGAAACCGATAACGGTTTTTGGAAGGCACAACGACAATGACTTGGAATTTGAAATTATATATATTGATTTGACACTAGCAACTAGTGTAATGTGTTTAGTTCTCTTTTTGGTGCAGACTGAATTCTATCAGTCAGGTTGTAATGTGGCCATCATTTTAGGTAGCTCGTTATCACGGTGCACATTGATTTGATGATATTAGATGGTTAGAGGCAATCGGCAGGAAGCCTTGGACCTAGGTTTCACCCGCACTGGGTGACGTGGGTTCGAATCTTAGAAAGGACATGAGTTCCTTTAAGGTTGCAGATACGCCTTGCTGACGAGTGCCAACTAGCACGAAACCTAGGTTCAAGGCTTCCTGCCATTGCCTCCAAACATTCAATATCATATATATATATATATATATGCATTGTATGACAGAAAACGATAACATTTAAATATCAAGACTGTATATGTTGCATTTGTATAGCTTAATTATATAAATCGACTTAAATACAAAGTAAGTGTTTCAAATCCCAATTTAAGAGCTCTTTATATATAACATCTTAAAATAGACACACTGCTCGGCTAGAAATCACCTTAAAACAAACACATTATATAATTAGCAAGAAATTAAAATCATTTGTTAAAACAACTTACCTTTGATTTTGTTTATTTACTAATGAATCCAACAGTTTATTCTTTTTAATTAGTTCCCGTTGCTCACACAACAAATGGTGGACCGTACGACTCAATTTATCAATACGAGATGTGTACAAAGCTTGAGTACATTTTAGACGCTTTACATCATAAATTATGCTGTGATTAAGCTGAATATCTTCAGAACTGGTTGTTTCTGAATCCTGATAACAAACATCCTCCTAAATAACAATTAGTTAACATAAGCGTTAAAAGTGTGCATCAACGTGAATTAAACTGGAGCTAAGACTGGAACATTACTTATCCTATGATAAGTTCATTTCAAATCTGAGAATCAAAACTTGTTAAAATAAAGATAAGTTCATAGGAATTAATACAGAATCAAAAATACAGAACAAGAAACCAATGGTAACTAGAAAAACATAATTAAATGACAGTGGTCTTTCATGGTTGCTTTTGTGCTGTCATCTATGCATTCTGCTCGCCAACATTTCACAACTCCACCATTCTAAACCCTGAAGTTCATACTCTTTTCATGACGCGAAAGAATCAGTGATTATGTTTTTCTGTTTTCCCTCTTCATACATGACTTGCCCCATTGAAACCAATTTTATTAAGTGTGCTAATCTGACGGTTTCCATTCCGGTTACTTCTCAAACAGACTATACGAAAATGAATAACATTTTATCAGATGTTAGTCAGTAGTCTTCGTCAAATGGTCTTAAGCTAAATCCCTCCAGATGTCAGGTTGTTAACCTCACTTTTAGATGCACGCGCGGCTTCCATGAACTGGTTTGCACCCGTGATTCTAGTTGAAACCATGTTGAATGTTAAATACCTCGGATCGTGTATTTCCTCTGATCTTTCTTGGCCTTTCCACATCATGTTAGCCTGTAAAAAGGTATTTCATTTAAAGTTCTACTCAAGGAAGTTAAGACAATGTAGTACCTCTACTTTTACAACTTGTTAATTCATGTGTCCTACCTATTCTACTTTATTGCCCCCCACCTAAATTTCTCCTATAATACCTAAGAAAGACTTTGTTACCTGGTGAGGGATTAATTAGTGATTCTTTGGCACAGCGGTTAGGACGCTCGCCGACCATGCTCATGGTTCGGGGTTCGATCCCCGGCTGACGTACTCCTTCACCTCGCTAAGCCAGAAATAATGCTGGTAAAGAGGAAAGGTTGGGCATGAGGCTGTGAAAATTAAACAATGCTACAGAAACCTCAAGCCACTAACTTAGGGCCCTATGTTCCACAGGGAACGTGAAGGAACAAAACTTGGTGAGGGGCACTAAAAGCTATTAGTAGTGTGAGAGGGATATCGCTAAGTCAATTCGTGAATACCACTGAAGATAGACACACCGACTCATTCAAGAAATTAGAAAATACCTTGTGGGACTCTAAGCATTCTATCTGCACACAACTCTCTCCTTGCATCTCATCAGACAGGATTAGAAGCAACTATGGAAGACTGTATGCTCAGACGACAAAGTACAGAAAACCCAAAATACCTTATTCGGTACACATTATATGTGTTGAGAAAAGTGTAAGACATGACACTAAGTAAACGTCGGTTTTTCTGTTCTCATATTTACATAGCCGTCAATATTTTCACTTGATTAGATTTTATATTCATTTCTTATTGAACAATATTATTAATCCAAATGCCTTTATTTTAATTACTGTCCCTGTAATGAGAAAATTAGATGCAATATTGTATAACATGCTGAAAATCCCATATTTATACCAAAAGTACTGTTTAGAATAGAGCTATTATTACCGTATATCTCTCTAATTGTTAGCTAGTAGTCACCACAAAAAGTAATGTTGAGGAATACAGCAACACGATGAAAATTTACCAATAAAAATGCTCCTGTGGAACCAGTTACATAGGCCATACAAATAGGTGTGTTTCTCGTCGAATTTCTGAGCATCACCCTGCACAGTGGTTGGTTAAACGAAGGACAAACAAAATCTATTCGTAGCGCTATTCTATCTCATCTTGTGGATACAGAACACAAGATTGATGTTAACCATGCTTTCCCGGTCATTTGCCGCATACTTACGAATCTCAATTTTGCTTTAAGAGTTCGACTACTAAATATTGCTGAGGCTGTGGGGATCCATATTAAGAAGCCTAATTTGTGTCCAAAAGAAGTTAATTCAAATATTATCCCTACTTTGGCCATCTAGGTTTGAATGATCCTGAATTTTTGTGGAATTTTCCTAATTTAGTTGATATTCTATTTGCTACTATATCTCTATTATCATTATAATTTAAGCATCTTCAATGAACTGTAATTCCACTGATCTTACTTTACAAATCGATATTATTTAAAAGAAACACTAATTTTGTTGTTGACTACTATTCTGGAATATTCTATGTATATAAACATGTATATATAATTGTAGAGGCAGAAGAGGAATTTATCGAAAAGGATATTCTTTGCTCAATTATTTTGAATTTTTTAACAGTTGATTATAGATCCCTTTATTAGTTTTAACCGATAATCTGAAGTTCATCCACACTCCACTGACTATAGCAAATTTCACCTTCGTAGGTAAGAGTTATGGCTAATCGGTCTACAAAGGATATTGAGGAAGCGAATAACTGATTAAAAATACCCATTAAAATTTTTTTTCAAAAGAATGGTTACTGAACAAAGAGTACTCTTTCCGATAACCCCCCTTTGTCATCAGGCTCTACAGTTATATATACATTATAGTGAATGAATGAATTAGTGTTATAAACAACATTAATGTTGCTGTTTAAATAACATCGAATCAATAATATTGATAGATTACAGCTGAATGGCATCAACATGAAATAAGCTGAATGTCAGAAAAATTAGGAAAGATAATATTACAAATTCATGAATTTATAGTCTCAAATGAAGGCCGGCCAGGGCAGTAGTAGGGGCTCTTGAACACAGAGCACTGGTTGTTTGAGGTGAATTGCAACAGCCTCTGCTGTTTGGAGTATGCGGTGCTTCGATGATTTTGGTAATTTATTAGGCACCCCGGAGATTATAGAGAAGGATTCTTCCACGCTAGCTTTGTGGCCAGTTTTGACCAGATTGTCTAATATCGAACTGTTAATGGTTTTAACTATACCTTTACTTAGTACAAAAAATCAAGTTCCTAGAGCAACGGCCTATATAACTCGCTCCACAAGCGCAGTTGAATTGGTAGATACAATTTGAAGTGGCTAGCTTAGGTACTTCATCTTTCAGTCGAGGTATCACCATCGGTCGTGTAGAGAATAATACGTGTGGTTCGTCAGCATTAAAAGTTCTTTGAACTGATTTTCTCAATCTCCTCGTAATTATCTCACTTGGTATATCCCCCTTGAATTGTAGTCGTATATAAAGTGGCTTCTTGTTTACAGATAGTGAGTAGTCCTTTTCCGCTTTCTTTGTCATATACATTTTCTTTATAGACATAAGTTATAGCTGAAGAATTTCTAGATTTTGTTCAGAGCATGTGAACAGTACACATTCCAAGTGTTTTTTGTACTTTATAAAACATTTTATGAGCTGTTGGCTAGATTCACTACTTCTGAAATCAATCGTTTCCGTTAAATATATTTCAAGCATCAATGAAGACATTGACACCGATGTTTAGAACCCCAGAACAAAAACATAGCTACTCGTACAAGTGAATAAGATGGAGATGACAGTAGTTATAGGGGGTGTTGGAACTTACCGAGTTTGAAGACTGACAAGATCGTTGAGCCAACTGATTAAATCGTTGTCTTTTGAAAGCGGAAACTGCACGAAGTTCGTCAATTGGTACATGACCACGAGTTTTGGTAAAAGAAAGAACTCCAGGTTTCAATGGTAACGAAGAATCATCTATAATCAACCAAACAATAATGTAGTCACGTGAAATTTAAAAAAAGAGGTGAATATAAAATCTTCGACTAATTGTGATTCAAAGCCTGAGGGAGCTAAACGAGATACTATTTCCATTTAGAAATCTAACTCTCAGTAAGAATTCATAGATCATTGGATGTGGTCACATTGGTTGAATGATACATGGACTTACCTAATAAAATGAAGTTACTGGGTTTTATGCCCCGTGGCGTCATAGGTGCGTAATGTTGAAGAAGCCTAAATCGGGACAGAACCGCTGCCCAGTACTTCTTCATAATCAGTAGTTTTTTGACTGATGCTAGTCTTTGATTAACCTAAACATTTGAATATTTAATCACCGATTCGGCCGCATACCATTCAATAAGGTTTGAGTATCTAAACAACACAACTACAACTCGCATATAAAAGACGATTACATAAACACAGGAACCGCCTTCTGATATCTTATACACCTATAATAACAAAAGGAAACGTACCCCATAAAACACTGCTAAAGCTAATGGACTCAATAAACAACGTTGACTTCCTCACATATTGATATCCTATATCGTAAAATGCATTCAAAACGAGCTGAGGAGACGTGCGCTACCTCCCATTTATACGGATAAATCAAAAGTATGAGGAAGACTTGCGACAAGTGGTTCTTACCTATTGAAAACCATGTGCGTCGGTGGCACAGTGGTTAGGACTCTCGCCGACCATGCACATGGTCCGGGGTTCGAGCCCACGCCGGCGCACACCTGATATCTATGGTCGGCCTGCGAAATTTGGGCTACCGATATCCATGCTGAAAATTCCATACTTGTACCAAAAATACAGTGTGGAATCAAGCTGTAAATCTAAAAATCTAAAAAAAAAATTATAGTGATTTAAGTTAATGAATGATAATTTTTCCCATAAATACTCAAACAGCTGATATCATTAACTTTGTACCTGCTTAATCCGAAACAGATTACCAACACTAGAATAAAGATCACTTCACCAGATAACAATCACAAGGATTGCAGGAGTAATAGAGAAAAACAGCTTTTGTTTAGCAAGGAAATACTTCTTTTCAACGACTTCACTTTAAATCTGTACTGTATTATTTATAAGACTGAACTGAAAAGGCACTAAGTGGCTTAATCAATATACATATTATAAGAATAACGACAATTAGGAGAGTAGAGGCGCATCGGTGGTTCAGTGGTAGACTGCCTGCTAAATATGCACACATGGTCCAGGGTTAGATTTATGGTCGGCAGACATTGTTACCTCCCGTAGTCTGATGTGGACCGGACAAAGAAGGAAGGTGAGGAGTGGGGCTAGCAACCCGACACCCCGGAAAAACACTAGTGCTGCTGAAACTTCAAAAGCTGAAGCTTCCGGCCCTATGTTCCACTCAAAATAAAATAATAATACAATAACGGAGTAGAAATGAAGTGAGTGAATTAAAAAGTTATAAGTTCACTAGGTGAAAATGGATCTATTGAGAGAAAAAAATTTTCACGGCTGAACAAAAACTGTTTTCTCTGTATTGATGAATAAACGAGGGTATTTCGTGATGGTACAAGTGAACTAAAGTGCTAGTAAATTGAAAATGGGGGAGACTAAATAACATACGTCCTTATCAGTCCTACATGCTTATGTGAAGTCACACTAGGAATGGTTAAGTGATTCCACTTCTTCTAATCAGGTCCCAGAACTAAAATCAAGCTACTAACGTACTTTTATCGAAGATACTGAAGAGATACCGCTGGCCTAATTCGCCAAATACTTTCGGGTAAAACAGAACATTAACATGCAGCCTTACAATGAAAAATTGATTACTCAGTTAAACAATACTAGAGTTCTATAATTGAAAGGTAGATTCACGGCTGTATAATCGCCTCTAAGTAATGGTAATAATCAGTTTAAAAGGTTGCAGCAAGACTGTGAACTAAAAACTGAGGTAATATACTAAGGCAAAATCAACACACTGGAGGGAAGGCATATAATGAATAGTAACAACACTCGAAAGCTACATTATCTATCCACTATGTGATCACTTATTTTCTGCTACCATCTATTTAAATGAACAGATTTAATGCTCTGAAAGCTGTAGGAGAAAGCATAGGTATTGGAGGAAACAAAGCAACTAAGCAGTTTTCAGATATGTATGCATTTCGTTCCCGGGTTCACTGTTCCTGTGAACTTACTGTAACAAACAAACTTGATGTAAGAAATAGCCCCTGGATAGCACTATAGGCAAAAATATAGTTATGCACAGGTTCGAAAGCCGTATTCGGATAGTCTAAATCCGGAGATTCGTTTCTGACATGCAATGTTTAGATCAGTACAAGTACGTTATTTCTGAATCACCTACTGATTAACCTCAATATAGATTAGGCTTTCACAGTACAAATAATAATAATAGCTTCATTCCAAAAAGTACTTTTGATACAGTGTGGGATTTTCAGCATGTAGTGCATTACTGTATCAAATTTTCTCTTTACATAGTATAGGGGGAAATAAAACAGAATTTACATTGGTAATATTATCAAATAAGACGAAAATACAATTAAAATTTTAACAAATATATATTCCTGGGAGAAAGAGTAAAAGGGTCGTTTACTTAGTATTTCTCAGTAAGTTATTAGTGTCATGTCTTGCACTTTTCTCAACACATATATAATGTGTACCAAATAAGGTATTTTGGCTTTTCTGTACTTGGTCGTCTGAGCATTAAGTCTTAACTTCTTTGAGTAGAACTTTAAATGAAATACCTTTCTACAGGCTAACATGATGTGGAAAGATCAGAGGAAATACACGATCTGAGGTATTTAACATTCGACTTAGTTTCAAATTCAGTACCATCTATGATAGCGGAACCGTATGAAAAAACCAGTTCATGTAAGTCGCGCTTACGTGTGAAAGTGTGGTTAACAACCTGACATTTGGAGGGATTTTGCTGAAGATTATTCGTCCTTACCATGGCCCTCTAGGTTCGAATGATCCTCACTTTTTGTAGAAACCTCATTTATTTTACCATATGTTATATTTGCTATTTTATCTTTATTATTATTACAATTTATGCATCTTTAATGAACTGTAATCCCATTGACTTTACTTAACAAATCGATACAAATTAAAAACACTAATATTGTTATTGACTACTATTCTAGAATATTCTATGAGCATAAGCATATATATGTATATATATAATTGTAGAGCCAGAAGAGGAAATTATCGAAAAGGATATTCTATGCTCAGTTAGTTTGTTTTTTATAGATGACTAATTTTTAGAAAAAGTCATTCATTTCGGAACAATCTGACTGAGAAGTAACCAGCATGTAAACAATCAGATCAGTACACTTAATAAAATTGGCTTCAGTGTGCCAATTCATGTACGAAAGAAAAAAGAAAAGGAGGAAGAACAGCATCGGCTAGAATAAATAAAGCAGTGGAAAACTTCCCAATATGTACAGTATACTGTTTTCTGTCAGAAAAGCGAGAATGCACCCGCCTGGTGTCGCTGCAAGCCTGTCTAACAAAAGGGGCTTAGGCACAGAGTTAAATGAAAGATGTGCAATCACGGAAAACAGTTGGCACCTCTGTCCAAACTAGAGACAATATTATGATATAAAACAAATGTCATCTAAAGTACACCTACCATGTTTGTAAGCAAATTGCTTAGGATTACTTGAAGTTTTCAAGGTTAAGTAAAAGCAGTTTTTCCACTTTGATTTAAAATGGTGAGGTAATTGCAATAGGTTTAAATTTAATGTGATTGGATTATGTTAATAAATCGCGAGGCCTAGAAGCGGGAATTGCCACGAAGTGAATGATCCCTTAAAAATTATCTTCAGGTATCAAAAGCAGCTTGGCAGCAAAAAATCAATAAGATATCAAGATGTGTGTGTTTTCGTGCCAAGAATACATACTACGTAAAGGCATCTTACCATGGTCTGGGTCAGTACGCAAAGATGGTAGGATATTCTCTTCAAAATAATCCATTGCCATTGACGAAATATCCCGGAGCTCATGCAAGATTTCATAAGGTCGTATTTCGACAGATAAGTTTGACTGCACGAACTGATAAACGTTCTTCATTTCATCAAGCACTTTTCCAGGAAAAAAGCAACACCTGTCTTTATCTTCATGTAGCATGATACTCATTTTTAGAAGCGATATCCGTGTCTCGACAGCAGATAATACCTCACAGTGCCTGAAAAAAGTTAGAATTCTTCTTATTCAGACCTATTCAGAAGATGACTTCGACGTTCGGATTCACGCCGCGGCAACAGAGACCGAAGTTTTGCATGAAAGCGGATGAACTTTTCTTCCATGAGCCGAAGTCCTTTGTTTAGAATACGACGACATACGACGTTAAAATATTTACACGTCTAAATCTTATTTTTACGTTTAAGCATCAGAAACCTGCCTCTCGTAATCTGGAAACTTCCTCATAAGTAAGGTAAGAGAAAACTTCTTCGACTAAGTGAGCTGGCAAAATAAGAAGGTTTGTGCCAGGTGACATCATCGACGTTAAAAAAAGAGCCACAAAATCTAACCGAGAAGATTAAGGTTGATCAAGAGTGAGGATATACGTTATGACCTGTTATATTTTCCGCGCCTCAGGTTTTCGCGTCTTTCATTGGCTAGAACAGTGGCGGTCAATTGGATTTGGAATTGTCCTTGGTGGGTGCTGTTGTGTGCTGTTTTGATGTGGTTGTGTTTGCGTCTTTTGCCAGCATATGTGGTGAGTATAAACGTGAATTTGACTATTGTAACACTTTGTTTTTTTTGTTTGTGCATGTACTAGGTTTTTTATGTCATACACTCCGCTGTTTGGTCTATCGGTTGCTTGGGATGTCAACGAACCGGTGGCTTCTTGTGCTTTTCTGTAATTTAGGTTATACGCGCGACATTTTCTTGATGGTTATTGATTATTCCTGTATATCACTGTTGTTTTTTACGAATTATCTCGGAATAGTTGTGACATAGACGGATACTAATTGATAAATCTATTCCTGTCCGTTGCAGGTAGTCAATTCGAGTGAAAAGAGCACAGACTTAAGTGGAATTTTTGCTGAATTAATACTTGGAAGGCGTTTCTTCAGCTGGGATGAATTTGAGAGGTCATTAGCAGAATTTCAAAAAGTGAGGAAGTCATTTAATGCTAATATTGTAGTTGTCTTGCAGCCACTGTGTTCATACTTATAGCAAAACAATACCGGATGACAGATTTAAGTACGCTTTTGTTGGTTTTAAATGCACTTTTGGAGTGAATCGTACAAGACCTGGGTTGAAATTGAAAAACAAGTCGTACGAAGAAGTGTGCTATGATTTCATGAATAATTAAGGTCTAAATGTTGCAATTGCTCGTCTTCATTTCGCGTGGTTTTGCGTTTCAGTGAATACATAATTGCTTCCCACAATATGGTGCATAACCAGCCATGCAGCAGGGTGTACATGCAGAATGACCCATGGTATAGACGACTAACAGTTGAAGAGAAAGAAAATGTGGAACCACTTCTTCAGCAATCGCACTCATCCGATGAAATAATCGTGTGCGTCGGTAGCACAGTGGTTAGGACTCTCGCCGACCATGCACATAGTCCTGGGTTCGAGCCCACGCCGGTGCACACCTGATATCTATGGTCGGCCTGCGAAATTTGGGCTACCGATATCCATGCTGAAAATTCCATACTTGTACCAAAAATACAGTGTGGAACCAAGCTGTAAATAAAAAAATAAAAAAAATAATGCATGTTAAGGAGAAGTACCAGAAGGATCTAACTCTTATCGACGTTAAAAATATGAAAGCCGCCGTTGCTTAAGGTAACGTTGACGTACTTGCTAATTACTCAAGGTATTTCGAGTCGTATTGACATATTTGAGTTCCTAAAATCCCGTGGGAAGTTAATGGAGTATTATTTCGATGAACTGATCAGGAATTCACTAACAAGAGTTTGTTTTGCAACTTATGGGCAAATGGAATTGTATAAACAGTTCCCTGAGGTTGTTGGTATCGATTCGATATATAATACAAATAAAGGGAAGCAAGTTTACCAATTCGTTAATCAATGTGCAGATATCCTTTGTTCGAATGACTTGTGACGGATAATTTCGGTCGTGGGCGACCAGTTTTATTTGCTTTGACTAGAAAGGTACTCAGACGTGATGTATTTTGGATACTGGACTCTCTTCGTCGAATAATGGAAGATACTTCTAGAACGGAGACTTTCATTATGGACTGTGCTCAAGCTGAAATAGCAGCAGCCAAGTTAACGCACAAAGAAGCGCACATTATTTTGTGTTCTTTCCATGTTTGTCGAGCATTCTGTCGTAAAGTTAGTTTTTTGAGAACATACTTTACATTTTATTCGTAGACAGGGAATCGCATTGTGAAGAACTACTTATGCCGCTTAGTGCAGTGTAAAAGGAGATCAGAGTAATGCCTTCAATGTTCTAATTTTGCAGATTTAACTTCTATTTCAGAGTTATTAGCAGAATGGATGCTACTGTCAGTCAATATCTACAACGTCGTTGGATGCATCGACGAGAATTGTGGGCAGCATGTTTCAGAGACCACATGCTGACTTTTGGGAATGATACAAATAATCGCGTCGAAAGTTCCCACAAGCAAAGAAAGAGGTACTTGCAAAGATCAGATAGTCTGCATAAAAGCATGCTGAAGGTGTATAAATGGTGTCAACAAAGTTTTTCAAGAATACAGCAAGAGGCGATGATTGCTCAGTCGCGATGCTTCACCTATTTCTGTTCACAACGTCTAATCCCAATCCTACGACTACCGACGCCATACGCCGCGGAGAAAGTAGTCCGTGAATACGAAAGGCGACGATGGGCTTCTGTTGAGGTTGAAGCCTTTGATTATGTATTCTTCCAAGGCAATGGGAATAGAGTAGAGGTTGATCTGAGTGCTTGTACATGCACATGTATGACGTTTCAGACTTGTCGGTACCCCTGTCGACACCTGCTGTTGGTCCATTTCAGAAAGCCATATTTTACAGGTATATTAGCGTTTTTATGACACCGTTTTTAATGTATGTCGACCGAACCTTAATTAACTAATATTCTTATATACGGAAGGTTGTAATTTTTATTACTGTATTCGTGTGTACAATGCCTTAACTGGAAACAAAACACAAGCACTACCATTATTATTATTATTGCTCCCTTGGGTTCCTAGTGGAACATAGGGCTTCAAATGCACGTCTTCACTTGCTTCTGTCTTCTTCTGTGCTTTTCAACTGCATCCATCTTAGTCCATACTGTTTCAACTCCTCTTTACACGATCTCCTCCATGTCACCTTTTCACTGACATCCAACTCGCTGCTTCCCTTTCGGGTTCCACTCGAGCAATGGCCTGACGCGCAATGTCACCCAGCGGCCTCCTCAGCGAGTGTCGAATCCATCTCCACTTTATCCTCCATATTTTTTGGGCGATTGGTTCTTGTTTTCTTTGTTCCATAGTTTCTTGTTGGTGATTCTTTCCGGCCATCTGATCTTCAGTATATATCCAGAGAAGACAGTTGTTAATAAAGGTCTGCAACAGGCTGTTGGAAATATTCTTTGTGACCTGCCCGTCAAGTTTCTGATCCGTATAGAAGAACTGACTTTACGTTTGTATTGAAAATCCGAATTTTGTTGGTGATGCTGAGTGACGAAGATTTCCAGATTGATTTCAGGTTGATGAATGTGTTTCTCGCCTTCCCGATTCTCGCTCGATTTGACATCCTCGTCCGCTCCTCCTGTAGTTGAGACAATGCTCCCTAGATAAGTGAGAATGAAGTAACCTCTTTCAAATCCCTCCCGTTGATGGTGATTGACGCTGGATGTTGCTGCTGCTGTTGTTGTTGGTTGGTTATTTTCATAACCTCCGTCTTGTCTATGTTTACCTGGAGTCCTGTCTTCGCCGCTGCTTCTTCGACCAGTTTGTCGGTTTTCGCTTGTAAGTCTTCGATTTTGTGTGACATCAAACATAAATCATCCACGCGCGAAATCCAGGTCTTCTAGGTTCTTCACGTCGGTCCAGGATATCCCTGTCTTCTCGTTTCCCACTGTCTGACGCATAATCCAGTCAGTCCACCACAATTAGGAATATCATTGGTGATAGATAAGCACCCTTGTCTGACTCCTGTGTTTACTCCAAACGCCTCGCTGAGTCTTCCGTTGTGGATCACTTGACATGTGCCGTTGTCGTACAGCTGTTGAATAAGGTTGATGAATATTTGGGGTACGCCATAGTACTCGAGTAATTTCCAAATTACTTCACGATCAACGCTGTCGAAGGCCTTCTCAAAGTCTATAAAGTTGAGGTAGAGGTTTGATTGCCATTCCATGCTTTGTTCGATGATGATGCGTAGAGTTGCAATTTGGTCAGTACATGATTTGCCTTTCCTGAATCCAGCTTGTTCTGGTCGGAGTTCTGTCTCCAGTGCGTCCTTTAATCTCTCCAGGATGATGCGACTCAGGATTTTACTTGGCGTCGACAGGAGCATGATTCCTCGCCAGTTCTTGCAGAGTCCTAAGTCGCCCTTCTTTGGTAGTTTCACGAGGTAACCTTTCCTCCAGTCAGTAGGCACCTTTCCCTCCTTCCAGACCTTTTGCAATAATGGAGTCAGCATGTCTGCTGTCGTCTCTGGGTCGCTTTCAGTGCTTCAGGGGGTATTCCATCTGGTCCGGCTGCTTTTCCAGCTTTCAGAAGCTTGATTGCATTCAAGACTTCAGCTCTCGTTGGAGGATTGGTGTCAACTTGCAGTTGTGTGCGTGCTGTTGTTGGTATTTCTGGACGGGTTGCAGGTGATGGTCGGTTCAAGAGTCCTTTGAAGTGATCCGCCCATTGTTTAATCTGTTTTTCTTCCTTGGTAATTGGGTTCCCTTGGCTGTCTTTTATAGGTTTCGCTTGTGTTGATCTCTTCCCGGATAGAGATTTGGTTATCTGATATAGTGTCCTCAGGTCCCTTTTGCCTGCTGCCTTCTCAGCTTCAGTGGTGAGGTTGTCGTAGAATCGTCTTTTGTCCTTCCTAGCACTCTTCTTCACTTCTTTGTCCAATGCTTTGTAAGTTGAGCTCATCGTCTCTTTCTCCTGTCCGTCCTTGCATTGAATCATTTTCTCTTTCACCATTCTCCTCTCTTCTATTAATTTCCAAGTGTCCGTTGAGAGCCATTCCTTGTCTTGTCTCTTCTTTCTTCCTAGAACCGTTGAACACGTTTCGTTGAGAATCGCCTTCAGAGACTTCCAATGTTCTTCCACGCATGATTCTTCAGTGATGTCGCGTAGTGTTTCCTGCTTTGCTCTGACAGTTGCAGTGAAAGTGTCTTTTGTGGTTGTGTCCTTCAGTAATTGAGTGTTGAACTTGCATTGTGGCCTATCCCCAGCTATCCTCGAGGCTTTTAGTTTCACCTTGAAAGTCCCTTGTACTAGATAGTGGTCTGAACCCACATCTGCTCCTCTCCTTGACCTTGTGTCCAGTAGGCTCCGTCTCCACTTTCTTGAAATTGAGATGAAGTCTATTTGGTTCTTGGTGTTTCCATCTGGTGAAATCCATGTCGTCTTGTGTATATCCTTGTGTTTGAACACACTACCGCCAATCACCAAATCATTGAAGGCGCAGAAGTCTGAGAAGAGTTCACCATTGTCGTTCATTTCACCGAGGGC